ACGATACATAATCAATGATGCAAAAGTAATCGGACAAATCTCGAATCTTAGTTCTCTTTGTTGGAAACGTGTTTGACGAAAAATTTTTTTTTTTTTGATTGATAGGAAATTTTCTCCTCTTTCGAATAGTGTATGATTCATACTTATTACACATTGATAAGTGAAACAAGATGTAAAAAAGAGAAATACTTACACAATAAATTTGTAATTTATATATGAACTCGTCAAAAATTTTAAATTTATTATGTTAATGTTTCGCTTTTTTTCTCGTCTCACTTTACTTACCAATATGTGATAAATATGAATCATACACTGTTCTATTAACTGATAGAAAATTTTTTTTTTCAAAATGTGTTTATCCATGAAATACAGGGATCAACATGTTTTACTGTTTTTCTGAATCTCACAAAAACTGTAAATTCTTTTTAAGGGTGCTTCTCTTTCCTATTGTATCGTTTCACCAATAAAGATGTTATAAAAATAAATCGTATACGATTTGCAAGAGAAGAAGAAGAAATCCTATCTTTTGGTAAAAAATTTTTTCGTTCAGCATGTTTCCAACGAAGAGAAATAGGCTTCGAGACTTGTCCAATTACTTTTGATATCATAGGTTATGCGATGAAATAAATGCAGATTTTGATGATTCATATATTGTTAGATGATATCACGATCATTTCTAACTTTACCAGTGTACCGTTGTGATCAGATTGCAAGGGACATTCGTAGATATTTTTGTTTTGTTTTTAAGAAGTATAGATATATAACATTTCCTATAATAATCATGGTTATAACCACATATATAAGAACGACAGTTTATTGACTTCATTAGGTGTATATGTCTTTCTTTGGCGTGTTTGATTTCTTGTATTTCTTTTGATTTTACCGTTCAGTCTGAGTTCCGTTTTTTTTATATATTTTCATTCACTATTGATGATTCAGAGGCATACTATAAACTAACTGCATTCAAATGGTCTATATTGGTTAAACGATATCATGGTATGTTTTATAGTTCATCGTTCACTAAAATAATGACTTAGATCGCAAACTCAATTCATCTCTTCGCTGGGGATAAGTGTGGGTGGTGAAGAGTGTTGCTGCTTGTGTAGGTGATGTTCTTTTTTTCTTAACATCCCACATCTACATCCTATCTGTTTACTATTACATATGAGATTGACAGTGCTCATTATTAATTCGTTCTTTCTCAATAATGTTTTTTCATAATATTGATAAATTGAAATGAGTTCTTAACATATGAATGGCTTCCTTTTTCATACTTCTCTATTATATTAGCAAGCAATGCTCCAAGTGTATAATATGAAACATTATACACTGCAATTGTGGGTCTTAATGATCTTTCTTTTTTTTAAAATTTTCTTATCTTTCAATAGTTTGAGCAGTCGGCTATTAATTTATTTTCCTTCTTTTAATGTATCTTGTTCTTTTTCACTAAAATATTCAATGTACTATTTTTCATCACCTTTGGATTAACTCATCAGCAGCTTCTTTGATTTGATTACATAAGGATTTCTAACAGATGTTTTCCTTTTCTGCCTCATCTTTCATTTTTGTTAACTCATATTCAATTTGTCTTGGTGTATTGGAACGTTCTCTTCTATACAAAATTTTCAACCTCTACTAATTTGATTTAATTGTAAAGTACTCGGTAATTTTGACAATAGATTATGTACTAATTTGTTCAGAAGGAGAAAAGGAACCCATTTATGATCATTTACAGTGCCCAGTAACATAGAAATTTTCATCTTATGTGAATTTTTGACTTTAGCTATTTTTGCTTGTTCTTTATCAAGTCGATATGATTTTAAAATTCTATCAGTTCCAATATGATACAGTTCTTTTCTTAGTTTAATTAAATTCCTTTGTTTTTCTGAGTATTGAATAGATTCTAGTCGACATTGAATTTTTTTCAATAGAGGAACTAAAGCAAGATGTTTACTTGCCAATTTAAATTTCTGCAATTTAGGAATCAAACCATAAAACGAGATACATACGTAAAAATTCAGTATCATACTGGTTTTTTCCTAATTTCATTGTTAGTTTCTGGGCATATTCGAGTCTTCTTAAAGTAAATTCACCGTATTTCCTTCGAATGTAATTTATGAAGTTTGAGTTGTAAATTGAGTTTTTGATAAACCGAAACATAAAATAATAAATATGAAATTTTTTATTTCTTTATTTAGAAGTATTCGACACTACTTGTGTGTTCATCAGTTTCAAAAACAAAAGGTTTTACAATAGAAAATATTTATATAGATTAGAATAAAGTTCAAAGTCTAATGAATTATAACAACTCAAATTTACGCGTATGCAAGTATCGGTGTATATTTTCTCATCGCAACAATACAGAACGCAAAATTGGGGAAAAAATGAGTAAGAATGTATGAAAAACGAAACAAAGGTGACGATAAGCACATGAATAAAAAAAATGGTTACGTGATGAAAAAGTTATGCTTCATTGAGTCACGCAAACATAGTTGTATGGAAAAAAAACAAGTATATTGTGAATGATAAATACAGACTAGAATCGATTGCAAGCACACACAAATAAATTTGTATACTTCAGTAGCATCTAATACGTAAGTAGATTTGCTTTTCAATATTGTTAGACTAGTAATAAAATTAAAGTTGAGAGTAAAGAGTAGCTATAAACAAGAAAAAATGACAGGATATAAGCATATTAGATTGTGATGACTAGAAAGTAATTTAAAGAGAGCTTCGCTTGATGATGCTCATGATCTGCAATCGATTGCCTTGTTTGCAGAATCTCTTATGCATACAACTGTCTTATCGTAAACGACGTTAAACAGCGTAACTTTTTCTATGTGTACATTCCACCGAAAGTATCAGTAGTGGAAGACACGATTTTCATTTTAGAAACATGACATAACAGCGAATATAAGAATTTGTATTAAAATTTTTTCGATCATACAGACCTATGTAAAAAAAATCTAATTGAATTTCCATATGGTGAAATAAAATCTAAGATCAAAGAGTGCGATAGTGGGATGAGTTCCATCAATTGAAATGCTGGTCTTTCTGCGAAAACATCTCTCAAAAATCTGAGTTTTGATGGGTCAAATAAGAAAAGCTTCAAATGGTCGATCTTCCGAACAATCGAACGTTTTGTGAATTTTGAAAAAATTTTCATTTCCTATATACGTTTTTTTTTGAGCTCTCAATATTTATCTGATATTTTTGCAAAAGAGAACACAGGTACGTACGATTACGCAACTTGTGTAGATCAGATGAACTAAATATAACGTTTTAATCTTAGAGAAATCTACGCGACTTCAAGAAAGATATATAATTTTTACATTTTGTTTATTTTCCTTTAAATATAATTTTAACGATTTTTTTTTTCAAAAACTACTCGTGGTATATAATATTGCTATTTTTGATGATGAATGAAAAGCAATTCTATCTGTTATAAGTTTCATTTGTCAAATAAAAGATTTATGATATAGCATAAATTATATTAGAATTATTAAACTATGTAAATAAAAAGCAATTAAAAAAATGTTGAAACTAGAAGAACAATAAATTCGATTTATTTATTCATATTAATTTTAAAAGCATGGATTATTTCAGTAGTTTTGAGGATTAGAAAACAGATCTATCGTCCTAAATGATTTCATCAACTATTTCTTTGCTAACGAGTAATCGAAAACTAGAGTTATTCAAGAACTCAGAGTTTTTGAGGTGTTCAAAAAGTGAAATTCATCATGATTAGTTTTTCATTAGAATTATAAACATACTTCTATCATTGTTCTAGTTGTAGATTAGAAAGAATAATGTTGAAAGCACAAAGCTATGTAAAAGAATCTAAAAAGCAAAATTTTTCCAAGGGAGATCATGCAAAACTAGTAAAAAACCACTGGAAAGCCAAATTTGAAACGCGTAATTGAAAATGTCTTTTCGATGGGTTTACTGTTTTCGCATAGTCAAAATATATCCAAGAAGTCGAAAATAAATGGGCGATCAGATAGTTGTGTTGAAGAGCTCGAAATTGAAATAGAACGAGAAAAAAATAGCTTTTGCAGTTCAGATCACTCGTCGCATTCCTCGTTGGCTTTTCACAATCTGCTGGAATGCTATTAATAAAATTATATTGAATACGTGCTTTTCTTTTTCTTGTTTCACTTGATGTTGAAAAATGATTCGATTTGTAATAAAAATTCACAGTTTAAATAAAAAATATTTTAATACGCAGGTCTAAAAGGAAATCGACATGAGTAATTAGCCTTACACAGCCTGCAAGATGAGGAGTATTCTTTCGTCTTGAACAGGTTTACTTTTATTATTTTAATCTAGTTAATCGTTGTAAGGATGATCATTTGTATGATTTTTTGCATTCAACATATGAGTTACTTTAAATGTGCACGTGGCTCATTCAAGCACTTAAGTGCTTGTTCATGAAAAGAAAGTCATATGCTACGGACAAATTTTGAGATCTGCGCATGTCATGAAGGTGAAAAAAAAGTTCGCCTCGGGCTATGATTTTGAGGCTGGTGTGAATCTTTTCTTTATTAATGCCCACAGCCGCTTCAGACTAATCGACTGAGTTGTTCCCGATCAGATCTTGATTGTCTACCGAATGAATTAGTTTCTCTCTGTTATTAGGGTTATTAAAACTGACCTCAGTCTATCGATAAAACATGATCTTGTGCCAGGACATGTTTCAGACTAGACCTAAAGGGTATTGCAGACATTTCAAGCTAGTTATGTTGTTCATGCTCACTTTTTCTTTTTGCTTACTTGAGTGTTCTTCTTTGCTTGTTGCTTGATGTACAGAGATTTCGCCTGTCTGTCATCTTCGTTTCATCAGCAACACTGTTGAAATAAATGAACAATCAACAGAGAAGAAGTTCTTGAAGTCTATAGTAATAAGCCAGAAAAACAACGTGTCAACAAAAATAGAATAAACAATTATATAAATATAGGGGAACGACGCTTTTCGTACTGTATTCATTCATTCATTCATCATGAGCAAATCGAAATCGACAAAAACTACTGCTAGTGGAGCAGCAGCGATGGCTACCACCACCAGTCGTGTCGGTGAGCTGTCCCAACCTGTGCGTCGGGTGATACAGAATTACGTGTTAGTATGGTTCGACGCCAATTTTGATGAATCTGATGACGATTTCAAAAAATCATTACAACATCTTCGAAAAACTGTGGCATCCATCGCAACATTTACAAATGTTCAAGAAGGCATTGTTTTTCTCAATGCAATAAAAAAAGAAAAGATATTTATGATCGTATCTGGTTCATTGGGACAGCAAATCGTACCAGAAATTGAAGCATGGCCGCGATTGGAATCAATTTATGTGTTTTGTGGCAATCGAGAGGTTCATGAACAATGGGCCAGAAAAATACAAAAAGTAAAAGGTGTACATACAAGCATCGAACCAATATGTGATGCATTACAAGTCGATCGAGAAAATTGTGATCGAGCTATGATTCCGATTTCTTTTAATGGTATTGATACTTTATTTATGTATACACAATTGTTAAAAGAAATATTCTTGGATATCGAAGATGACGACACAAAATTGATCAAAGAACTCGCGGAATACTGTCGTCTTCAAAATGACATTGATGAAGACGAAATTGCGAAGGTCGAACAAGAGTATCATGACCATACACCAATATGGTGGTATACGGCACCATTTTTTATGAATTCGGTGCTCAATTGTGGTCTCCGACTCATGGATGTCGATATTGTACTCAGATTGGGTTTTTTTATTCGAGATTTGCATCAATATATTGACAATTTATATCAAGAACAACAATCTAACAAGAAGATTACGACAACGTTCACAGTTTTTCGTGGACAAGGTTTGTCAGTTGAAGTTTTTGAAAAAATGAAAAAAACCGAAGATGGCTTAATGTCTTTCAATAATTTTCTTTTAACGAGTGAGAATCGTCAGGTGTCCCTTCAATTGGCTCGAGAAGGAGCGGCTACAAATTCTAATATGGTTGGCATTCTCTTCATAATGACTATTGACCCGACCATATCTTCAAATTCATCAATTCCTTACGTCGATATCAGCAGGGAAGGATTCTACGAAATTAATGATACAGAAATACTTTTTACAACACATACAATATTTCGTATCGATCACATTCAACCAATCCCCGATGATCATACTGATCGCCTATGGCAAGTTAATCTCACTCTTGTGGGTAATGACAATCCCGAATTAGACAAAATTACGTCATCCCTACGCGAAGAGTTCAGTTGTTCAACAGGATGGTCACGACTGGGTCATATACTTATTCAACTTGGTGAGCCTACAAAAGCAGAACAACTCTATAAAATCCTTCTCGAAAAGACATCTTCTGATGAAGAGATATCGGATTACAATCAGCAACTTGGCAGGATGTATAGAAATATGGGTGAGTACTCAAAAGCACTTTCACATTACGAAAAATCACTGAAGATCAACGAAGAAACTCTCCCTTTCAATCATCCCGACTTAGCTATTTCCTACAACAACATTGGCAATATATATCATAACATGGGCGAGTATTCCAAAGCACTGTCATCGTACGAACGATCACTTAAAATCCAAAAAAGAGCTCTTCCTTCGAATCATCTCGACCTGACTATTTCCTTCAACAATATCGGTAATATGTATATTAACATGGGTCAGTACTCAAAAGCTCTTTCATCGTACGAACGGTCACTTGAAATTCAGAAGAAAACTCTCCCTCCGAATCATCTAGCCCTGGCTACTACCTACAACAACATTGGTAATGTGTATAATAATACGGGTGAGTATTCGAAAGCACTTTCATATCACGAAAAGGATCTGGAGATTATCGAGAACGCTCTCCCTCCAAATCATCCTGACTTGGCTTCTTCTTGTAATAACGTCGGAAATGTGTACAATAACATGGGCGAGTACTCAGAAGCATTTTCGTGGTACGAACAATCACTTAAAATCCAGCAAATAGCTCTCTCTCCGAATCATCCTGAATTAGCTGGTTCCTACAACAACATCGGTGCAGTATATTATAACATTGGCGAGTACTCAAAAGCACTTTCATCGTACGAACGATCACTTGAAATCCGGAAAATAGCTCTACCATCGAATCATCCAGATTTGGCTACTTCCTACAATAACATCGGTCTGGTGTATGAAAGCATGGGCAGGTATTCGAAAGCACTTTTGTTTTACAGAAAAGCTCAACAAATCTGGAAAAAATCACTATCTCCAACGCATCCATATATTGCATTCATCAAAGAAACCATTGAAGATGTAGAAAAGAAAATCTAATTGTTTTTTGTTGTTAAACAAGAAAATAAACAGAAGCACACAAAAGGAAGAAACAATTAAAATATGTCTCCGTGCTATAAGTTGTAGATTGAATATGAGTTTTCCGTATTGGTCTCCAGAGGGTGGATATGGATATGAGTGTTCTTCTTCTACAAGTCACTAACATCCATGCCGTACATCTACATCCAGACCCTGATCCAGATCCATACCCACACTCACATGCACTATATGATATTGAGCAAAAATTGCTAACGCTAATTAATCAAATATAATCTCTTCGTATCGAACATTCATTTTTCACAGAGACACTTTTCTCACAAGCATACATTTCTATCGTCCTTATTCATCTTTGAATGTATCAATCCTCTATCATTTTCAAAATCCATCCTTCCTTTAAAATCAAATCAGTGATATCAAACATATCAATTTTTGAACCTAAGTTCTTGATATTTCAGATCATAATCACGTCTATCCTTACGAAAGCATCAACCTTCTCATTCAACATCTAACAGACATCGAATTACCTGGTAATATGGTAGCTAGACTCACCTTCATCCCACCCTCACATGAAAGTTTTGGCTATCTGCTGCTTTTATTTAAATTCTTCATATTAGAAATTGTCTTCTGTTTAGAAGATTTCTTTTCATTTAAGATATGCTTAAATATTTATGCAGATATATAGGGTTGTGCATAACCTTTTGCTAGGGGGGTAGCGCCACTATTTCAAGTTGAATACCTAATGAATTTTATACCAAATTAAAGAGCGTTGAAAAATGGATTTATTAGTACTAAATAGTAAGAGTTTTCAAAATATTTTAATGTGGAACTTACGAAATTTTCGGAAATTTTATGCTTTTTTTACCATAGAAAATGAAGGCACCACCAATTCAAATATAGAGTAAGATATTTTCTTTTGATATTTTTATATGGTTCGATAGAGCTCGTCGAGCTCTACAAAACTGTACATATCAGAAATTTTTTAAGCCATTTGTTTCAGATAAAAAATTAAAAAAATTACTTGTAAAACCCTAAAAAATCTCTAGAAACTCGTTTTTTTTATATGGAAGAAAAACACTTGATTTTTTCAATGAAATTAGCTTTTTTCATTATTTTTATTGATAAAGACACTTCGAAATATACTCCTCCGGTGCAGCGTGAAAAACTGCGTCTGACGAGTATATCTCGAAGCGTCTTTGCTAGTAAAAATAATGAAAAAACCTAATTTTATTGAAAAAATCGAGTATTTTTCTTACCTATAAAAAATTGCCGGTGCCTTAATTTTTTATGCTAAAAAAAGCATAAAATTTCCGAAAATTTCGTAAGTTCGACATTAACATATTTTGATAACCCTTACTATTTAGTACTAAGAAATCCAGTTTTCGACGCTCTTTAATTTGGTATAAATTTCATTAAGTATTCAACTTGAAATAATGGCGCTACCCCCCTAGCAAAAGGTTATGCACAACCCTGTATTACATACAGGGATGCCAGATCAAAATCTTACAAATCGGAATTCATTTGCCTGAATTCGGAAAATTTCGGAAAAAATATCTGACTAATTCGGAAAAAAATTCGGAAAGTAGTGGTTTCAAGCTTTTTGACGCTCAAGTTGATTTTTTAGTAAAAAAAGCTTTCGCAGTTTGGTTATCCTCTCTGTAAATGTATTTCATCAACATTAAAACAAATATATTACATGTAGTATTATTAGAAAATATCATTTTCAAGAAGAGACAGTTAATACACGAAAAAAGAACTCAAAATAAACTGTCTATACATGTATGTATATCTACAATTCAAAACATTTATTGAAAAAGAAACTAAAGTTCATTTACTAAGACGTTTTTCGAACAAACTTTTCATTTTAGACTATTTTTTTCAATAGTTCCTCTGGAGTAAACGAAAGTCATAAACATTTGCACACGGAATATCGGAATTATTTCTGATTAATAACTCAGATTTCATCAATTCGATATCCATTCAATTTCGATAATCAGATCATAAGTTAGTCATGTGACTGAATATTGATTCAAGAAAAGAACTGCTACATGGAATAGAAAATACATAGGTAACAATTAGTTTCAAACTCGGTACTGTCTTTGGGTCAATATTTAAAAAATATGAACATAAGTGATCAAATTGAACGCATTCATTTGCTCTTGCACCAATATTCAACAATCTTTCTAAAATATAACCATTAAAAAGTAAAACAATATCCTTATTGTTATTTAGATTACGCTTTCTAGAGATACTAGTCATTCATATGACTTATTCGAAAACCAAACATTGATTGAAGGGGGGCCCCCCCTCAGAAAATCCAATTTTTCGGAGATGAGTCGAAATTGAAGTTTTATCATAGGAAGATGCACTGAAGTCTCCTCTTTCAGAATATCTATGTTTTATCGAAAAATGAATTGACTTTGACGAACTTTTCGTCTAAAACTTTGCTCCTACTATCATATTTTTCGAGAAATTTTCATGGTGTTTTTTCAAGGTTTTTCGACTTTTTAGGCTGCTTTCTCTTTGCATCATCATTTCGTGAAGTTTTTTTTATATACTAATCACTAAGAGGCTATCAACACTTAATATTAAGATCACACATTTATAGCCTGTCTTGAACATTGATATATAAATCAGGTGATTTTCGGAAAAATCGACTTCTAATACTTATTTTTCGTTTTTCTCAAAATCAATTTTTTCGAGTTTACCGTTTACGCGGGCAAGTATTTCTCAATAACGACTCAATATAGAAGCGATAATTTTTTTTGTTGAATAGAGGACAGTTAGGGCTAGATCCTCACGATCTCCGATTTTTGAATTTCTCTTTTATTGAAATAAAAAACTAAGATATTTCAGTTTGATGAGCGCTTTGAATTTGCACATGTGACGAAAAAAGTGTTTTTAAAAATCAAATAAAGGGAAATTTAAAAATCGGAGATCGTGAGGATCTAGCCCTAAGGTCACTCTACAATTTAAAAACCAGCCCGACATGATTACATAGTAACCCCATTGTGAAATCCTTGCCCGCGTAACGGGTAATGAATTCACTAGAACTTGTGTATAAGTTTGAGATTTGGGGGATATATTTTAACCATAATCTATTCTAACCAAGACTAACATTCTCTGAAATTTTGGTTGAAATCGGATGAGAAAATAACAAAGTTCGTTTCTGAGGGGGGGCCCCCTGAAGCTATTTTGAGAAATCTTAGATGAAATTTGAAAAAATGCTTATCATATTGCATCTTCTCTCCCTTCCCTTCTTGTCTGTCAGAATAAAATCAATTACTAATGATTACAGGATAGTAAAGATGGCGCAATATGAAATCTATCAAAATTTCTATCAAAAATTGTAATGCAAAAAGAAATTTTTAAAAAATACTGCGATTCAAAAAAATTCAGAAAAATCTCAAGAATTCTGATGAATTCGGAAAGTCGGAAAGCAGTCTGAAAAACTTAGAAAATTCGGATGATCTGGCAACCCTGATTACATACCATTTGATGATTCTTGTTCTTGAGATGGAATCGCGACAGTGATTGTTATATTTTCATGCTCACCTTCATCCTCACACTCTCAAGATAGCTCAATCGCGCTCGATAATGCATATTCACGATTATTCATGCTTTCTCGAGAGAGGGAATAAACGAGAAATTTCCGCTATGACGACTCATCCTTTTAGGATTGAGAATCAAACTATTCGAACAATCTCTTGATGAGAATATCATAGAAATTGTAACATAGGATATCTCTCTCAATGAGGGTACGACGAGAACATTCCACTGAAGGAATAATTGAATTCAAATTTGACACCACTGAAGATTAATGAGTCCTCTACGGTATAAGTCAATGAAACTCTGAGCTTTCATCAAATCACTTGATATGTAATACAAAACAAATATTATCAAAATCGAAAGAATATTCAGCTAAAGCAGACTTGATCTTGTTCCATACTAGGCACGAAAAATAAACCTGTCTTGTCAGTTATTATATAAAACAAATTCCAAAAGTAAATACATAACGTCCTTTCGCTTATATATATATGTTGTAGGCAAAATTGAAATCCGGGCAAATTTAAAATTTGCCCAGTCAAAATTGAAATTTTAATTTTGACTAGGCAAAATTAGAATTCTAATTTTGACCAAGAATTTATCAGTCAGAATCAAAATTTCAATTTTGACTGGGCAGATTTAAAATTTGACTAGAGGTTAGATCAATTAAATAAAACCAAAATAATTTCAAGAAATAGAATAAGTTTTTAATATGTTTTTTTTCATAAAATGGTTAACAAAAAATCTTTTCAACTATTCATCCATATTCTTACGAGCACCTCGTTTTGAATGACACATTGTAAACCAAAAAACTCCCATTTTTCTACATTCATATGGCTTTGTAGTGCTTAATAATCCTTAATGAACCCATGTAAATATTTTTTGCCTCAAAACGCGTCTGAAACGCGTTTCATTTGCGTGCGAAACGCTAAGAGTGAACGCGTTTGAACGCGTCCCCAGTGAAACAAACGAAGCGTTTAAACGCGATTTATTGAGAAACGCGTGTGAATGCGCTTCTAGCTTGACTTGCGTTCAAACGCATTTTTAGCGAAAACGCGTCCCAGATGAAACATTTAATGCGTCTGGACGCGTTTCATAAAAAAACTAAAAATTTTGAAAAAAAATATGATAATCCATTTCAGATTCGAACTGAGTTGCCACCATCAATATTTTTTGATGGTCTTAGCCTTCCCTGGCAAATGGATTAGATTTTACCTTAAGCGACGACGATCAGATTTGAACAGATGAACCAGTGATTAGAAGTCGTTCATACATACCACTGAGTTATACTAACTCGAAATCTTGTCTTATTCAAAATAAAATATATTTGAAGACGAATTTCATCGGTTAAATACTTTATTTTAACAAGATGTATTTTTTTCGAATTCAAGAGTCTTAACACGTAAGATGACTTTTCAGTTATTTTTTTAATAAAATAACATCTTTTTTTTATCATCTACTACACATAAAAAATATTACGATCTTTTTTATTGCACTGGTAATATGATAAATAATTTTATCGAAAAATTTAATGAATAGATAATTATTGACAAGCAATTTAGTAGAAATATATGATGAAAAGTTACTAATAATATTATTTAAATAGTAGTATTTAACAATATTCTGAAAGGGCATTGCATAGCTGGAAACTATTACAATATTATCTAACTACTTTTCTTACAAACTTTAGAGAAATATGGACTGTTCATCCTATGTTTAATTGAATCTTGTCTATTTTAACATCATCTCGACATTCTTTATTAGAAGTCTAATGAAGTTTAGATGAATAAAATACATATAAGCTGATGATTTTGATTATGCAGTTAACTCTTCTAGAGCAGCAATTTTTGGGTAAAATCGCGTCCGATACAGAAAAAATACACACTTTCAAAGGCACTCGAAAATATGATTGCGTCCTAACGCGAGCGAAAAACATATTTAAGACATGTTTGAACGCAGTTCGTAAACAAAATTTTATTAAACGCATTAAATTTTTTTCAGAAACGTGTCGAAACGCGGTTCATTTTTTTCTGATTGCGTTTAAACGCCTTGTATAGAAAACCTGGGTCCAGACGCGTTCCAAAATTTTTTCTAACTGCGTCTCAACGCTTCTCATATTGCATCACGTTTGAACGCGTTCAGTTAAACTCTTATTAAACACGTACAAACGCAATTTCAATATGAAACGCGTTGAGACGCGGTTCATAGTTTTTTTACAATTGCGTTTCAACACGTTGCATACAAAAACTGCGTTCAGACGCGTTTCAAAAGTTTTCTAACTGCGTCTCAACGCGTTTCATATTAAAAATGCATTTGAATGCGTTGTGAACCCGTTTTTAACTGCGTCTAGACGCGTTTTGTTGTGAAACCGCGTTTCAACGCATCGATCTTGCGTTTCGTGATTACATGGGAAAGGACTGAAATACGTGAAGATGCTTTTCTGGTCTTTTATCTAGACTTCAGAATGCTTGTAGGCGTTCAGTGGACTA